ACTGTACGAAAACGAGATGGTTTTTTTCGGGACCTGCTTGTATATATACCGCTTGACCTGCTGCACCGCTAACGATGGGCGACGTCGACAGTATAGCTCTTTATATATAGGCGGGCCGCATTCGAAACAAAGACCGGATTCGCAGCTGCAGTCGGTTTCTTGTGGCTGTCGAAACTTATCAGAGGGAAGTATTCAACTTAATCTGTGTCACCACTGCTGTGTAGCGTTAACTTCTATTTTTTCCCTCTTCCCCTCTCTCTTTCTTTTTATTTTTGAAAGTAGCAAGTAGCGGCCCAAGCCACTATATTTGAATAAATGCCGCTGATGGTAGTTATAATACAATATGATGACTTGTTCAAAATTTTATGTGACGCCTTCGGCATTTCCTGGATGTCTTTCTCGATCCCGAAGTCTAAAACTACCGAATTATCATATCTGGGGTTTTACGTCCCAAAACCACAATAGTGTTATGAGAGACGCTGTAGTGGAAGGCTTCAGAAATTTTTACCATTTCGTGTTCTTTAACGTGCACTCTTTAACGTGTTCTTTAGCGAGTACACGAGCCTCTACTGTTATGCCTCCATCGAAATGCTACCGCCGGAATCGAACCCGCGACCTCCGAGTGAGCAGCGGAGCACCCTATAGCCACTGTTGCGCTGAGGTGGCCGTCTAAAATTATACTGCTGCGATGGCGAGCAAGCGGTCAGAGCCCCCAGAGGCCGCGCTTTGTCCATAGAAAAGGCAAATAACCCAGGTGGTCGAAATTTCCGGAGCCCCCTACGACGGAGTCTCATATTCCTATCGCGGTTTAGAGTCGTTAAACCCTAACAATTATCGTACTATTGTCTAGAAAAGCAGCTTTTGATACATCCCGATTCTCGATTGGCAAATGTCGGCACCTCGTTAGAAAAGCAATGAATCGAGTCCTTCCTTTACCGTAAGGAAAGATGATTCCGAGGAATTATTCTTCAGCGACAACTTGCTGGCTATTCCACTAATGAAGAAAATTCACGAAAGACCAATCAAGGCTCCACGTAAATGATGTACTGGTCGCTATAGTTAACGACATAGATGTGCTACTCGTTAACTTACCGTTTGCGAGCTGTTGGAACGCATACGACATACTGTTCTTTGCGTTGATGTCGTGCAGTACCGAAAAAAAAAAGGGGGGGGGGGAACCAGCTGTATTCCATGCAAATGTGGGTCGCTGTTGCTCGGCTGGGGAGGAAACTTTGTGATATACATAAGCTGCTTGCGTGTATAGTTAACATGCTTGGATATACCCTGTGGAACCCCCACCACCTCTTTTTTTTTTTTCTTCCTTTAACGTGATGTTGAAAGATTTGTTCGCGAAGGTATACATGGCATGCTGCTTGAGCGGATGTTTACGTGTCAGGAAGCACCCCAAAACGTTATTTTTCCCAGTAAGAACGGCGAGAAGCAGGTTACGAGCAAACTAAGCAATCCCGCTTTCTTTCTTTCTTTCACGTAGCGAACGTTTCACTGAAAGCGTGCTCCGGAAATTACACCCTCGCTGCACTTCTAATGACGAGGCATTTCCCTCTGGGCTATGTGGACGGAGCCATTAGGTTGGCTGTTTTCTGCACTACCTTTTCTGTGTTCCATTTGCAACTAATTCTTTTGTCAAAGCGACAGCTTGGCACTGTTTATTGTGATCTACAGGGACCGGGAAACAGCGATCGTTCACTTTCTTTCTTTCTTTCTTTCTTTCTTTCTTTCTTTCTTTCTTTCTTTCTTTCTTTCTTTCTTTCTTTCTTTCTTTTTGCCCCGACGCGGTGGTTTAGTGGCTAAGGTACTTGGCTGCTGACCCGCAGGTCGCGGGTTCGTGTCCCGGCTGCGGCGGCTGCATTTCCGATGGAGGCGGGAATGTTGTAGGCCCGTGTGCTCAGATTTGGGTGCACGTCAAAGAACCCCAGTTGGTCGAAATCTCCGGAGCCCTCCACTACGGCGTCTCTCAATCATGTGGTGGTTTTGGAACGTTAAACCCCACATATCATCATCATCATCATCATCTTTCTTTCTTTCCTTCTTTCTTTCCGCTGCATAGGTCATTGCTGCTTTGCCGTGTGAACCGGCTGCAAGCGCGTATATGCCGCGCTTCATTGTAACGTTGAGGAGCACGCGCCGGCACTCCGCTTCTCACGGCCAAATCTATAGCGTACACCGCAGGCCGTAATCGAGGGAAGCAAGTTATCAGAGCAGAAAGCCGCCGGCGCCGAACGAGAGGTTAGCCGGCACGTTCGGCAGTCTCCCCTTTCTTCCTCGATCCGCGCATTGTTGCAGCCATTGGTGCGCATGTGAACAGGAACCAGAGCAACGAAACGTAGCCAAAGCAAGAAAGAAGGGAGTGTGGTTGTGCGGCCTATCACGTACACGATCCGTTTTTTTTTTTTTCATTTTCGATACATTTATTCTTCCCCGACCTCTATAGTGTGTTCGCGTCAGCAGCGTATGTTCTGGCTTCCCCAACGTCTCGCGCCGTTTGTTCAGTTTCTGCCGCTCCTCTAAGCAAGTGCCTTTTTTTAGAAGTGTGGCAGCTTGGGCTAGTTGGTATGGCATGACGATAGTTATAGCGCGAGAACAAAACGACGACACAGAGTCTTTCGTGTCCTTCTTGTCTCTGTGTCGTCGTTTTGTTCTCGCGCTATAACTATCGTCATGCCTTTTTTTGGTTTTGACAGCGAAGTGTAAACATAACAAAAACACAAGAGAGGCGCGCAAGCAGTGCGCAGCAGCTTCCTGCATGCACCTATCTGCATGCGACTCTGCGCAACGTCCAGTCGACAATGAACCGGGGGGAGCGTTTCGCCATTGGATGTGGATACGGCATACTAGTTTTGTATCGCTCGGGCACCACGCAAACACAGCACGCACCGCTTACTTTCATTCATATTTTCGTAGTGTATATGTTACAGAGCACTGGTATGATATGCAGGCAAAACCGGGATACGTGTGGCACTACAAAACCCACATATTTTCATCATACCCGTCTGTATAGATAGCGCACGCACTTGCACACTCTTATTGCGTTTGAGCTGGTCCACAGAAGACGGAAAAGCAGCAGTTCGATAAAAGCGGTAAATGTAAACCTATTTCTTGCTCCAGTTTCCAGATATAGAATTCTGAAACCAGAGTTAAAATGAAGTTCTTATATGGCTATTTTATTTACACGGGTAATCTACATATGCTGATGAACTACTTTGGCTCGATACAATTTCGTAGTTCGCCCTACCAGTCTACGGTAGTCTCCTGTTTTGTTTGAATTCTGACCAATTCTTTTTGCGGACTTATCATTTCGCATTTCTCGATAACACAGTCCCCCCGAAACTTTCGTGAGACTTGAGCACTGGAGAATCGCAGCTGGTTCGGCGAGTCCATGAGGTATTCAGGTGTAATTCAGCGTTCGGGTGGCGTCTTGTTTTGTTTTTTTCGCCTTCTGTCGCGCACTAAGCACATGTGCCTACTTCAAGGAGATTACGCTCTAGCGGCATTGTATAAAAATCCAGTGGTAATGGTATATAACTGCATTTAGAAGTACAAACTGTGAAGAAGCCTACTGGGGAGAGGTTCCACAGTGTACCCCGTCGTCGCAGCTGCTCACATTCCTAAAAAAAAAGAAGGAAAGAAAGAAAGAAAGAAAGAAAGAAAGAAAGAAAGAAAGAAAGAAAGAAAGAAAGAAAGAGAAAACCACGATACTACTACTTTTTTCTGGTCATTCCTGGCTCGTTCTCAGTCGCACCTCCCACGATTCTCCGAAGCGAGTGTAGCGGCCTTCTAAAGGGAGTTAACGTGTATTGGGGAGTTAACGTCAAAGGAGTAATGGGGAACCCCCCTCGCCCCGCCCCTTTTATTTTCTTTAAGTGTACGTGTCCTGTTAGCTTCCAGAAGACTTTCAATTAAATTACTACACATTTGCTTGAATATAGCTGTTAGCGTTATTGCGTGGCTTTTTATTTGCCGAGGCGCTTCGGGCAGCCGACGCGACGCCTGTCGATCGGATGCGGAGAGAGCCCGGAAAAGCGCGCGAAAATGCGCCGCGACAGCTCGCTCTTCTCACGCAATACGCGCGCGCGCCCAGTCGTTGTCGCCGCCGCCGCCATTTCGGACGTGTGCTGTTTCGTGTGAGCGGAGAGTAGTGCCGTGCGTTCGTTGAACCGCGATGCAGCCCTCTCCGAGAGTCCATCCGGGGAAGAAGGGAGACTCGGTCGAGGGCTATGCCTGGGTGACACGATGTCGCGCGTATTTGGACTCGGCACCACAGCGATTGACGTCACCCTGCCCGTTATTACTGCGGCCCGCGCCAACAGCCAGCGCTGCTCGTATATCACGATCGCGAGGGAAAACAAACAAACAACACGAAAGGACGCGTACTGGAAGAGGGATGCAGAGAGGCGCCTTTCCTGGCGCCTACCGGTCGATTGATCATCCAATCTTCCGCGACGAGAATGGTCGTGCGGAGGGAGACACTTCTTGCGGTAGCTACTCGGTAGTAAGGACAGAGTGATAAGCGTCAAGTTAAGGACTCAAAATGCACGAAAATTAGTGAAATACAACAGCTTCGGGCTGTTCAAGTATTACATATCACATGTACAAGGAACATGATAGTATGTCCATCCTGCTTTAATGTTATTTCGGGTGCGTGGTGTAGCCCATTGAAATGTGTACAATATCTCATCCCGTATTTCACTTCAGCGTGTGTAGATACTGTACGTTGTGCACTCACTGTAACCTCGAAGAAGCCTGTTAAATTGCGGCACATCCTGCTTTTGTGTGACAGGAGAATCATTTGCACGGCTTTCTGTGGGGCCGTGTTGAGTGTTGTGTTCGTGTCTTTTAATTTGTGTCAGCACGTAGTTAGCTGTAAATTGGTTTTTCGTTGACATGGCTTCTTTGAAGCTTTGTGCTTTTTGGACACAGAGAAAAGTCGAATGCTGTTACTCAATTTCCTACTTTTTTTTCCCCCTTTTTGTCTCGTGCAGATCACATCATCTAAACCACCTTCACCAGTGCCACAGGCTTGAGCTGTGGCAAGGGGCCGAAGTTGGCAGCACCGACAATAAGAGGCCTCCGTCTCCAGGGCTCCAGGTACAAAGGAAAAACTTGGTTGTTTTACCATAGATTCAAATATCTGAGATATATTCGTTTGTTCTAACACGAGCGAGGAAATGCACAGTGTCTCCTGCTGAAATCAGCTATGGTATTAAACAAACAGTAACAAAAACAACAGTAAAAATAAAATAAAGTGGTGTGAAATGCAAGAGAGGGATTTTCGTGAAAGCTCGACATGAATCTAATTTTTTATAGGCACCACCTTTTCCGAAAGATTCGGCCCGCCCCCTTCCCATATCGAAAATATTTCATTTTAAACCGTCTCTGTTACAATTGTTGAGATCAGTAGTCATATACAATATGCATAATATCACTATATCTAAATGCTGCCTTAGAAGAGTTTAAATGTGTGTTGTATGAAATCAAAAGTAGCTAGACGATTGGCTGCCTGTTTGCTGAAAGTATGTGCGAACAGTTTCTGAAAAGGCCCAGCTGCCGACTTCGACATTGCCCGAACGCAAGCAACCAAGATGTGTGCTTTCGAATCAGTGAAGCTGAAGCAGATAGAGGAAGTTATTTTTCACAAAGGTGCTCCCTGATTTTCCAGAGAACATGTCCTATCTTGAAAAAAGAGTAACCAACGCTATAGGTTAAAGGGACACTAAAGTCAACTATTAAGTCGACGTTGATTGTTAAAATGGTGGTCCAGAAACCTTATAGTGTTACTTTTGTGCCAAGGAAGGGCCTATTTTGAAATAAAATCACGTTTCAGTGCTCCGCATCTGTTTAGCGTACTTCAATTTACCCGCCTCAAGAAGCGGACCGTCTCACGTCACTGTTGCCGTGCACAACGTCGCCCGGCTTTACAGCGCTAGTAGCAGCAGACCGAAAGGAGCGGGAGCCACAGCAGCAGAAACGGCCATTGATCAATTTCCCGCCATTAGCTTCGAGATCGCTAACGCTTTTGTTTCAACTTCGCCCTGCTAGATGGCACCACCTGTCTGGTGTAACCACGCGAAAATTGAATTTTCGAGCCACTCGCGCAATTCCTCACAGTAACGTCCAGAAGTTCTTTTTTCCATAAATCAAACAGAAACGAACAAGTAGCATTTTATTGCGTTTCTTAATGCACAGAATGTTCTTTACTTAGTGCACTTAGATCGATGACTGTTAATTGATTGTAGGCAGTCCGTACGATGTCATTGAGATCATTTTGAAAATGTCCTATTGTGGCGCTTGTGTTCTTGTGCATTTTCTTTAATTTCTCGGTAAGTAGGGCACTGTTGTTGATAATATTGTCTTTTCAGATGTTGTCTTACATTGAGCTTTCGCTCTGACGTAAATTGTTATTTGACTTTAGTGTCCCTTTAAGAAGAATGGAAGAAACACACACGGTGCTTGGACTGCACATCCAAGTGTCGTATGCATTCCTTATGTTCGTATTGACTTCTCGCACACCTTAGTCTTCTTTCTGGATAATCCAATGAACCAGACAAATTTTAATACTGCCCATGTGTCTTTGTCTCCTGATATAGTTAATTATTACTATGACAATCCTTCCTTGTGCTCCACAGGAAAGAAAACCCACAGGTGATATTAAACACTCCAGAGAGGCTTGGAATAAATATGGCTTGTGTTCTCTGCAGCTAAATCTAAAAAGCGTCAAGTCTCAAGCATGACCAGATGACAAAGCGGGAAAGAAAGGGGGCAGGGCAAGAAGGAAGAGGGCCCCACGGAGGCCCCTCTTATTTTTTTTGAACGGGCCTTCCGTACTGTTAATCTGGCCCGGCTTGCAGCCTTTTATATTTTTCTGAGTTTATGCATTTGCAGGCATTTTGCTCCACAATTTTTCTTAGAGCTTTTCAATGTTAAATTTGAATTTTTGGTATGCAGTTTATAGATTACTTGCCTCCTTCTTAGTCTTCATGTCACATGAATCAAAGTAGTTTTTTAGAAAATGTGTGTTGGGGAAATTTATTATTAACACGTTCGCTGTGGCAAATTTTCTTGAGGTCTCATACCCACCGAAGGGCCACATGGCGTATCTTCCAATTGTGCCATGACCCACCGGTGGGCCACAGCATCGAACGCCAGAAGAGATTTCTTCTGGTTATTTACAACCTCCTGCAACAACAGTCACATCTGCTTTCATATTTGAGGAAGTTATCGCATCAGGTCGTGACCCGGTGGCGCAACCGGTAGCGCATCTGACTTCAGAAGTTATCGCATCAGCAAGCAGATGCACGCTGGTAGCATAGTGGCCACATTGGAGGAGCACAGTCCGTGACCCACCGGTGACCTACGTCGCAGTGAACGTGTTAAGCTATCACTTTCATTGAGCTGACTGAAATCTTCTATTTTTCATTTTACACGTAATGTGAACTGTTTGCCATATTGGGCAGTGTCCGCAATAAATTCACAGGGAGTGTGTCCATTGCAGGTTTACAGTAACTATGTGTCCGTCAGCCCCAGTGAAGACATGTCCACACATCGCACTGAGGTGTTCAGGCACGACAATAGAAGCACGAATGATATTCCTACCAGGGTCGTTCTCTACAAGAATAAACATGGCAGATCCCTCACATTTTCTTCATGGACACGTGAGTACAATATTCTTGTCGACTAGCTCATGGAAGGGCCTATCTTTGAACCTTAATTAATACCAAGGTTGGGCTGCCAATGTACTGTCTGTTTCTATTGATGTTGCCAAAGGTTCTCATGAAAACTGTATGCATAGGTATATCACTGACAAGCAACCAAAGAAAGGAAAGAAAACAATGTGACAAGCTCTCAATAGATATGTCACAACGGTGAAAATTACAAAACAAAGCATACTGTTGGCTGCAAGATAGAGCAGAGTCGCCACTTGGCGGCTACTGGCTCAACGGTGCCTAGTGTGCATTGCTCCGTGCTTTGTCTGCTAGAACATTGTGTTTGCATGGGGGTGTACGTCACACACATCCTCAAAGAGCAGTTGGTTTCATTATGTTCATGCAAGTAGGTATAACTGCTTGTACGTATGCCTAACATGATGTACAGCAGCATTTGTCCTTGCTCGGCTGCATATGCACTGTAGTAAGACCAGTGACTGGACTTGTCGAGAGGGCTCCGAAATGTCATCATACCCTTCGTCTGCCAGAATCGTTTCAGAGTGGTTGCCGCTTTCTGGGTTGATGCACAGAGTAAAGTGCACTTAGCTTTGTCCCGAACGCAACGAGTATGAAATAGCGTGCGAATGCCATGTTTTGGCGACTCGGTGCTAACGAAAAAAAGGCTCTAGGCCACGCATATTGGCATTGTTAGGTGTATAACTGCTACACTGTAGTGTGTCAGTTCTGTGATGACCTTTAATTGTGCTTAAGATGTCCTATTATTGTATGGTCATGATTGCACTACACAGGAACATTCCTATCAAATGAAGCCTGATCACTTGGATATTTTAAAATTTCTCTTAAAAACAGCAAATGAAATGGCACAGAAGTGATAAAGTGGAGTTGCCCTGTGCAGTCTTAACATTGGGCGAAATTTATGGAGAAACACCTGTGTGCTTAGATTTCAATATGCTTTAAAAACTCAGTATCCAAATTAATCTAGACAGTGGGCCTCACATTTATAGTAGTATAACTTCATGCTAAACCTAATCCTTTTATACATTCTCTTGAGTGTTTTTGTCGTGGTGTTATAGATTGATGGAAGGCAGCGGTCATTGTTTTCTTGAAAGAAAACATACCTGTCCAATGAAATAACTAGACCTTTATTACATCATTGTTATGCATGTAATCAATGGACAGCTCTGTGCTGAATTGTTATGTTTGTATACTTTTACTGGGAGTGATGAAAAGTGTTTACATGTTAAATGCCTCTGTAGCCCTGAAACAGCTGTCAGCCATGTAGTTCTTCTGACTAAGCTTATCAACTGTCCTACATGTCATGAAAAAACTGAATAAGAAAGAAAAATTGCATATGCACGTGGTTGTGTGAACAGAGCCATTAAACTCATCACACAGGAATACAGGCTTTCTTTCTCTCTATTTCTTTTTTGTATTCAGATGAGCAAGAAGCAGTTCAGTGAAGAAGCAAGTATAGTTGAGTGGCAATATAGCAGTGGTAGTTTTCGGAACACTAGCTAAATACGTACAAATGAAACAACAAAAGTTGTCATATCGTGCGAAAGCACGGACCTGTCACTCAGGATGTGCATCCCTTTTATTGGCAGATTGCGCTTCTCTCACATCCTAATTGAAATGTTGGGTAGGCTTTGTGCATGCATGTGACAATGAAGATCGAGATATTGCCAATAAGCTACAGTCAATGCATTTTATTCACCGACAATTGGCTCAGACTGCTCGCAACGAAGCTCTGCTGTGCGCATTCGTATCATTTCTACCAGCCACCTATCCACACTACTGCGGCAATGGTGCTGCCACCTATAGCCCGAGTCGTGGTGCAAGTAACCCGCAAATCATTGCTGAAAAAAAAAAGAAACACATCTGTTCTATCAATAATGTCGTCGCATTGATGGCCAGAATTTCTGGTCAGTTTTGATTGCGGCGCAATTAAGCTCTCACAGTCAGAGCTGTCTGGAATGGCTGGAATGGTTTTTGCATAGGCTTACAACTATGCAGTGTTCAAAACAAATCGAAACATTTGAAGGCTCACTTATGTAGTGTTGTGTTTCCTGCATTTCAGTCGCTACCCCAAACTCCAACAGGGGTCGGAGTGTCACTGAGAAATGGCATGGGCCTGTCATCAGAAGAGCACATGGCAGGACATTCTGCCAGGAAGACTGGGCCGATGATCAACGTAAGTGCATAACAACTGTTCAATCATCTAATCGTGTCTTGCCCGAAGGGATCTCACTTCTGTTGTAGCCATTTGTAGATTAACTTATCTCGACAATTGTACGTCTCTATTTGTTGATCTGACTGACTTTATTCCTTTTGTAATGTTGGGCAAAAAGAAGAGGCATTTTTTTCATTTAAGGAACTTGCTGCAAAGTATATATAGTATAGACATATGGGGCATGATAGAGCCCCTCACGAAGGCCTATTTCAAATTTCGGTTGTGCACTGGAAGTTGGAAAACACCACCGAGGAAATGTTGACCACACAATACTTTTCATGCAAATTCATCGTGGAAGGAATTGAAGGAAATCGAACTGTTCTCTTACCATGCTATCGAGGGGAAGTCCACATTGAGCAAAGACACTTGCCCCCTATTCCTCAGCCAACTTTTGCTAGTGGTGTGCCTTCCCCGAATTGTCCCATGTGATGAAGTCGAGAAATTGAGTGAACAGTTCATGTTCCACTACAAACCCGGTCTTCCCTTTTTCCCACTTCTATACTTGCTTTGTGGCACATGTCGAGCAGCGTCTTTGTACACTCCATATTTGACTGTGCTCAGTTACACTCTACACACTAAATCTCTCTCTAGCTGTGGCTCTCTTAAAAGGAAAGGCATGAGATGTTCTGTTTGATCTTTGGACCATTTTCAAGCTACATGGCCACTGCACATTTGGTAGGCACCGTCACCACTGAGCTGTCATTGTGTTACTCTTATTTCTTTGCTATCTGGCTGGCAATCTGGTAAGTTGCCTTTCAAAAAAATAGAATGACAGAACAAAAAAAAACACTGTCCTTCAACCACAGGCTTTTTTAAAAAAAATTTTTTTTTAAATACCATATTTTCCTGTGTATAGCCCTCACTGAAAAAAACAAAAAAATGTGCCTCAAAATAGGAGGTGTAGGTTGCATGCAGTGGTTGTATGCATAGCAGAATAAAGGTGAGGTGGGCTGGTTTGCTAGGGTTCATGGTGAATTATATGGGGCAGCGCTCTAACGAATCCAAGGACGAGAAAAGACAGGCTGTACTCACAACTAAAGGTTTATTGAAAGAAGCTCGACCCACTTCCATATCCAGCATTATTCAAATAATTGTCATCAAAAGTGCCATGTAAACAACATCAGGGCATTATCAGCTGGAAAACAGCCTTGTGGAAAATATACACAGCATAAAAATATACAGCTGATAGAAACAGTACAAACTAGTACTATGCTATGTACGTGTGCATGAGATAATATAATTATTTAAATGAAAGGTCTAATGATGCTTGAATAATGCATTTCTTTTTTAATCAGTTGATGTGAAATGCTTCTATTATTTCTCTTGTCCTTTTAATATGATGACGTGAAATAATGTCGGTGTCATTCAAATGTGGCACATGAAAGCCTGTGGTTGGCTAGATGATAGTGGCATTAGCGGAGGAGAGCGAACGTAGGTGTTCTTGCTGTGCAATATTGATGCACCTCGCACTTTGTCCAACATATACTACTTTACTGCACGACAAAGGTATCATATATACAGTACCTATCTTGCATGGTATGAAGCTGCAGACATGATTAGTTTTGCATCCAGCTTTTACAGATGAACATGCTTTTTTTTTATGATAAGTGTACAAAACCTCCCAATCTTCTGGGGGCGAAAAACGCCAAATCAACCTTGTACGAGTTCGAAACATTTTTCAGACTATGCGAAAAGCAATGTAGATATAGCACAACAGTGAATTTGCTAATGCAATTTTCACCTTTATCACTGGCTCCCACGTTGTCTTTCTTGACCAATTTAATGAGCTTATTGCGTGCAGTGGTGATCGCAGCAATTCCATAACTGTCTGTATTCGGCCTAAAGAGCAGGTTATTGAAGCTAGCTTGAACCTCATGATGGCATGATTTTTTGAATGAAGAACACAAAGTAGAAAAAATAATGCCATTTCTGATGAGTTTTGAGTGGGCTGAATTGCCATGCAACAGTTGTTTTTTTACATCTGGGTTGGTACTTCTAACATACATGCTGTGGAGTGAACTGCTGGTGCTGCTTCATTAATTCAGAGGTGAACCGTAGGCCATGCCCATTTGATTGATTGATGTGTGGGGTTTAACGTCCCATAACCACCATATAACTATGAGAGACGCCGTAGTGGAGGGCTCCGGAAATTTCGACCACCTGAGGTTCTTTAACGTGCACCCAAATCTGAGCACTCGGGCCTACAACATTTCCGCCTCCATCGGAAATGCAGCCGCCGTAGCCGGGATTCGATCCCGCGACCTGTGGGTCAGCAAGCGAGTACCTTAGCCACTAGACCACTGCGGCGGGGCGTAGGCCATGCCCACTGACGAAAAAAAACTGCTTACCTGGTGATCTTTGACAACGACCACAATTACAGCCAGCTGACCGACAAGATTATAAAATGTTTTCGTAGGCCATGTCCACAATGACGAAAAACATTTTATAATCTTGTCGGTCAGCTGGCTGTAATTGTGGTCGTTGTCAAAGATCACCAGGTAATCAGTTTTTTTCCCCTCTTTGTAGAGTTAAATTCAGGGTGCGGGTTATATTCAGGGGCCATTACATGATAGAAAATATAGTACACACTGAGAAAACATGTAGTGGAACACACCATAATGTAACCGAAAAAAGTCACCAGATCTGTTTTTAATAGCCATCATATGCTAAACAAGCATTGTTATGTAGATATGGTTCAAGTACATTAATCATTTTGTAGAGAAATTAAGTGCTAGCTTATAGCTGTGCATTGTTATGGCTACGACATGGTTCAGCTATCTCATGGGTGTAGCGACTTTTTCATCACATTAGCATTCGCTTAGCTGCGGAATTCGGCACACAGCTGGATAGGTGACAGAAACTAAATAGTAAGTGGCAGCTGGCGTACCTTTTGAGCTTCTTTTTTCTTTCAGTCCTTGTCCTCCCCATTCTGTATTAAATAATGAACAAGGTGTAGCTGCATAGGGTACAGCTTCCTTTCTTAATTTCTTCTTGATGTGTTTTCTTGTTACTTTTTACTTTTGGCTAGCTTTGTAAATTTAGAAGGAATGTAAATGTAGTGATGAAGCCACGGTATACCACTGCTATTGCTACTAGATTTCTTGGCTGTTTTGATGTATGTCCCGTTGTTTTGCTTTTCTAGTTCTGTGGCGGAGCTTGCCAACCAGTGTGGGTGTGAGTGGTGTCACTGATGGCTCTCACGGATTTCCTGACGACGATTACATGGCAGGGCCAACATTTGGCGTCGGTATGAGTGCGAGCTACTATGGCGGCCGGCGACCACACTCCCGTCACCTGAGCTCAAAGGTGAAATTGATTTTTCGAGACATGTTTGTGGGTGCCCGTCCCCATCAGACGTGTAGGAGGTACTTGTAACGGGCATAAGAGTGGCACAAAGGCAGGCAGGGAAAGTGGTTGCCTGCTCGAGTCATTCAAGGAGGTGCGAAGTCTATTCCATACTTTACTCAGCCAGACCTGTCTTGTCATTGTTTTAGGTATAAGGTTTGGGCTTTACAGGTTATTGATGATAATGGTAGTCAAGGACCTCTGGTGTTGCATTCCAACACCTGTTTACTTTCCTAATTTCAACCTTTAACCCTGAAAAGCTGAGGACCAATGGCAGGCTGTTGTGGGGAGCACATCGTCGCTTACTTTTTCTTCTTGCTTCTATTAACCAACCAGGGAGGGCAGGAGGTTACTGCGGTGAAACTTGGCTCTTCTCAGCGGAGAATCTCCTGTGCACACCTGTGATAATGCGTAAATTAATTTGTAATATCAAAGGCAAGTGTTAGCACATGCAACTTGCACTGAATCCTGCTGTCCTGCTTTACCTTTTAAACAAGACAAATTTTACACTGTTTATAAGTTTCAGAAACTGGCCATGTGTTCATGGTTGTCAGGGTAGTTGGAGCAAGTTAATCTAAACTACTCTGTGTGACCGTGATATCAAAATAGGTACATTTATTGTTTTTTGTGTGTAAAAGAAATGAACACATGAATTGTAACTGTCCGACATTTGCAAGGGCAATTTAACTGTCCTATAGTCAGGGGAGTCGCAAAGTGTAGAGAGGCAGAGGGCATCAGAAGACCATGCAATTTCATTCCCCCCCTTCTTTTGCGGTAAGAAAAACCAACATGCGAAGCATCAGGTTGCGAGGGAACATCACAGCCATGGCCTTTATTTTTACACAAGGACTGCTGATAATAGTAAGCTAATCTGCTGCACCATGCCTCGGGTATAGTACACGGTCCCCTTGGCTAAGAGATGAAAAATCCTTGCAACACAGAGTGTCACTAGAGCCAATGTTCCGACAAGTGAACATGCCTTCTTCAGGGCTGCAACTGCAGCTTCAAAGTTGCAGATGCAGCCTTGAAGAAGACAAGTATGCTTGTCAAGATGTTGGCTCCAGCGACACTCCATGGTCTAAGAATTTTTCATTGCTTTTAGACTCTATCGTTCCCTGAGCGTCTATCTTACTTGAATTTCTGCATGGATAGGAGTTACACAAGGCGATCCAGAGGCCATCTTGTTGATAAGGACATCTGTAATGGCAACATTACGTTACGGGGGTCACTGTGCATATAAAATATATAAGATAAGCAGCTGCTGGGTTTGTGAACTCTTTGATGTTAGTAATATGTGTTGTAAAACCGAGGGACTGAAGATGACCAGCGTTACTTTATTTGAGACAACCCCATGCATGGCACATTTGCCTTCAATACTGACTGGACCTTCCTCTTTTCACTTCTTCATGGTGCTAAGGTCAACGAGTGATTGGAAAATGTTGCTGCCGTGGCTCCACACTGTTTCAGAGTGCGGGCATTCATATTGTTGTCTGGAAAACACACCTGCAGGTGGAGATGGTGTACTCTCTGCTGTCCATGCTGGGGACACATGACAAGGAGGACCTGAGTCGGACATTGCTCACCATGTCTGGTTCCCAGGAGAGCTGTATAGCTATGAGGCAGTCGGGTAAGTCAGCTTTGGCATGAAAATCGCTGCTATTGTTCCTCGGTACATTTTTGTTGTAAAAATCCGTCGGTGAACACTGTGTAAGACAATCTCGTGAACTATTGCTAAGCACTTTTTCCAGCTGGAAACAAAGGCAGTTGAATTTCATGGGAGCTTATTCACTGCGGTGGTTTTTAGTTCCTGTGGTATCTGAACTCAGGGTTGATAGTTACAAGCTTTCATGGGCAGGTCACCAGTGCGGTGTCAGGAGCCTGCTCAGGAGTGTCAGACCTGCTCTGCACACACTCATTGACTGAATTAGTGCATTGGCTGCTTGCAATGCGCTGCTTGAAGAAGGATTTGTAGTACACAAAATGTGTGCATATTTTGTGCATCTTTATTTTTGTTCGAGCAGTTCCTCGCAACTGTCATCTATGTACAGCGAACTAGCCCCTGCTTTGACTTTTTTGTACAGTGACTCATATGTACTATCAAAGTGAGCTCGATAAACTGTCTATACGTGGCAATATTCTGCTTTCTTTGGGCTAGGCTTGAAGTTTACGTCTTGTACTCCACACAGCAAGAACACTTGTCTGATAAAGCCTTAATTCTGAAACAGACTAACTTTACGACAACGTTACTGTAGCATTACCACAACTTTACCACTAGTTCACGATCGAGAAGACCACCTGTTTTGTTGTGTAGGGCTCTTCTGCTAGCATTGGTGCAGTGAAGCCATAACAGTGTATTGTTTCTGCTCACTGCCTGTCACAGGCTGCCTACCGCTGCTCATACAACTCCTGCACGGCAGCAACCAGCAGCAGGAAGGGGAATCACAGGAGAGCCAGGCCGAGCAGCGCCGAGTTGTGCGAGAGCTGCGGTTGCGGGCGAGCCAGGCACTGCACAACGTCGTGCATGCCCACCCGGACGACCGTCAGAGCCGCCGTGAGGCTCGGGTCCTGCGTCTTCTGGAGCAGATTCGAGACTTCTGCGACTACTTGCACGACCTCGAGGCATGCATTGCAGAGCCCAACCAGAATGGTGAGTTTCAACCTCCGGTTTGAAGGTGGTCTGAGCTCCTTGTGCAATAAAGAGCAATAAAGGCAGTAAAACGTGTGCTAAAGGCTAAAAGGTAGTAAAACGCCACCTACCATGTTATGATAGCGATGTTAACAGCCTCTGCACCTTCTCTTCCTCAAGCCTAAGGGCAATAGCTTTGTAAAAATCATTATGCAATCATGGCAAGTGCACTATAGCCACTGAGTGGTGCAACATTTATCCGCAAGGCTGTGAGGTAGGTGATCGCAGAACTGTACTGTCTGATGGTTGTTTCACTGATGCTGAAACATTGCTCGTATGCATGTTTCAGTGACAAAGAATTGAGAGCAGTGGCCAGAGACAACTGCAGCGGCTGCCCTACTCTCCAGGAGAGCTAGATCACAAGCCATGGATTTGTGGTTCTGGTCTAATGCTTGTTAAACTGCTCAGTGCAAAAAATAGACGACATACACATGAACAAGATGAGGACCAGGTACTGGTTTTCTGTGTGTACCTTGTCGATTTTCTAAGCTTCAGCAGTTTAATGATGAAACACCAACAAGCTCAATCTTACATTTTAATAATTCTTATTGCCTGTAGCCTTTGTATTTCTTGGCAATGTAATCTAGCAAGAGTGTTTATATGAGTTTTTCTTTCTTCTGCTAGACCTCAACAGGTGTTGCTCGATTTTTGTTCAAATAAGAGTTGAGGTTGACTTTCGCTGGTAATGGACAGTTATTGGACCATGAATGGCTCTCTATGCTTTCTTCATTGGCTGCTAGAACATGTAGCTGCTTATTTGGTGCATGAAGTCACAGGCATTAGAAAGCTTAGTAAGCTAGTAACTACAGGTTCTTGCATGGTCCTTACAGTGAGAGAAATGTGTAAACATGAAAAAATATTTTGCTGTCTTATTGGTGTTCATTGGTGAACATGTATATGAGAATTTACCCTTTTCAAAGTGTCTTGGTTCTCATGCAAAAATAAGGGCCATTTACTTTCTTGGATCGAAAATTGGTGTAGGACATCATGTTACAAGAATGATGTTGAGGCTTAAACGGCCTTGCCGCCATAACAGGCAGGCAATACCTGCAGTTTAAATGATAGCATGGGTTTTGTCATATATAGCACCACCATCTGTGAGCAAAAGTTGAAATGGGATTCTAATATTATATCTGAGAGTGCATTACATTCACGAACGGTTCCTCGAATATGTTTTTCAGAACCTGGTGACCAACATCCAGGATCAGCTATTGCAGCTCTCATGAAGCTGTCCTTTGATGAAGAACACAGGCATGCCATGTGTCAACTTGGTAAGTGCATTGTAGCTAGCTGTTAAAGGTGCCTCCTCCAGTTTTTTTCAGCCTATATTGCTGGTGTTGCCTACGTATTACTATTTTTATTGATGCCATGTTTTCATGTTAAAAGCTCAGTTGACAGAAATGGGAATTTTCGAAATCGCTCAGATATTGACTCGCATTCACGGCATGTAAGCAGTTGTATCGTCATCTTTTACATGCGAACCATCTTATGCTCGAGTTCAATTCGGTGTGCAGCTTGACCACCCTTACTGCGCGTGTGCGTCCCCTCCCCCTCTCTCGCCTCGCAATGTTGATTGCAATGCCGAAGCCTACGCTCACTCCCCCCTCTCTCTCCTCCAGGCATTCCACCCAGCGGCGTTTACATTCCCATTGTACATGCGCACCCTCTCTTTCTCTCTTTTTGTACGCTAACCCCTTCTCTCGATTTGCTACATCGATGCAGGCAGCGTCTGCAAGCGAGTTTCTTGATTGAAAAAATCGACTGCTCGCGCTATGCAACTGTTCACTGGCCACTTTGCACATATAGGCACTGGATCTTAACCTCCAAGGTAGTGCCAGTGGGAGATTTGGAGATTTCTCCTGTGCTTTGTTGAACAATAAAAATTTACAGCGTGTATGTTAACTGAAAGTGCGCTGCAGGTCTTTGTGTCTAATCGGAGTCTTCTGTCTGTCATTGCCCATTAGCAGCTATTGGCATTTTCTAATAGGAAACACCGGTCCACCACTACGAGCTTTGCGCCTCCCCGCGAATTCGATTACTGTATTATTTGTTTGAATATTCAAAGCATTCGAATATTGGTACTAGCCTGCTGCAGACCCTTAAATGATAGCAGGTGCACACTTTCAATATGACATGATTAATACAAAAAGTGGCCTGAAAATTGCTTGATTTTGGTGTGTGTATGAAACACAGCAATACAAAAGTGATGTAGAAAACTGTTTTGCAATTAATGTGACTAGCAGGCATAACAAACAAGAAAAAAGAAGCTACATACAAATAATAGATTATGTTTCGTGATTACACTAGGAAGAATTACCGTATAAACCGGACTATAGGTCGAGTGGGAATATAGGTCGACCCCTCAAGTTCAGGTTACCGAAAAAAAAAGGAAAAAAAAACTTAAAATTGCCAAACGATATTTATTTGCGAATTGAGCGCATCGCACTTCGATCATCGGAGCTACCCTCAACCACCATCGCAACTGTTTCTATTCGTCAGAGGAAGCACCACTGTCTTCTGAAGACGAAGGTTTGTCGCTGGCCGCTTCCCACAGTGCGTTGTCTCCCGTGCCATACAGCGAGTTGCTGATGGAACATTTCTTAAAAGCATTTTCCACCATGGAATCTGCCAAAGAACGTCAGGCGGAAAGCACCCAGCCACAAACAGTCGCAAGCGGAGGCCTCTGTAGGCGGCTCGTTGGTGCCTTTCAGTTGTCGCCGGACATTCACTTTTGGCACTCCAGCCGCACTCGGTCCTGGAACGGCTTGTTTGGCGCAAGGTCAATCGGTTAGAGGGTGGACATCAAACCACCTGGTATCACGGTGAGGTCCGTTTTTCCATCGCCCAGTGCGCGCTTCACAGCGTCGGTTTAGTGACCACAAAACGCATCTAACACTAGCATGCTGCAAAGACGCAGCTGTGCACCTGGCTGACGGTTCCAGACTACTTGTATCCATTCGAGCATCATGGCCTCGTTCATGAATCCCTTTTTGTTGATGCGAACAACACCGGGCGGGAACACTTTCTTTGGCATTGTCTTACGTTTGAAAATGATGAAGGGCAGAAGCTTTCAACCATCTGCCATGCATGCAAGCATGACGGTGAAGAGCGAGTGCTTGTTGCCAGTGGACAACAGCTTCATATCCTTGGCGCCACGTTGCGTGATCGTGGTCGATGAAGGCATGTCAAACCACACGCGGGTCTCATCGGCATTGTCAATCTGCCCCATCGTGTAGTTGTTCTGCTTCGGAAGCCGGTTCACGAAGCCTTGAAAGTTTATACTAAGCTTGTCCTCGAACTCGTCTGGAAACTTCTGACAGATGAATGTGCGCCACCGGAAAGAAAATCCTTTGCGTCTCATGAATCGACGCACCCAAGAGTTTGGTGCACAAAACTCTTCTCTAGTGAGCCCAGCTTCTCGAGCGAGTTCCACAGCTTTCTTGCGAATGGTATCCACGGTCACTGGCAGCGAGCACGCGTGAACTTCCCACACAAAGTTCCCTAGCGTATTCTCCAGCTGTGGATGAACTGCACTTCGCCCACGAAATGACATTTTCCAAGGATTGCACATCTGCAACTTCCCTTTCTGCACCCTTCAATAGCACACGCTTTTTTCTGATACACCAAAGTGGTGCTGAGCAGCCATATTCCCATTCGCTTCTGCGAACTCAACAACCTCTAGTTTAAACGCAGCTGAGCTCTGCCTTCTCGTACCGCTACTCATATTCACTGAACAAAAAAAAAGACCTCTAAAAATGAAACACAATGTCAAGCGGAGCGAGAACTTAGAACAGATCGGAGGCAAATCACGAACACAAAAAAACAGACAAGAGAGAAAAAAAAAAAAAAAAAACCTGCTATTGGATTGGAATGCGAATATGGCCGTGTCCAGCTTCTCATGTACATGCATACCACATGTTGCCAGACAGTGGTGCACTGTTGGCTAGACACCGCTATATAAGATGAGGGGCGACTTTAGCTCATTGTTTTATTGAAAATATCTTGACTTATATTATTGTTTATACGGTACTACAAATGGATACTAAACCACAACAGAATCATTTTCATCATTTTAGGCAAAATAGGGCTACATTGAAAAGTACTATATGAAAACCAAAATAATGATAGTACTACAATGAAAAATATATGAAAACTGAAATGGTGCAACAATGCTATTTTGGTGAAGGATAGATGAATGTGAAGGAGGAATAAATACTGGGAGAATGCCTGAGTTATTTCATTTTAGTCTGAGACCATGTGTGGAAAATATGAATAATTATAAGCATCGATTCAATGGAAATAAGGTGTTATGAATTTGGCTACATGATGCTTTGTAGGTGTGGTTAATAAGAGTGTTATGGAGACGAGTCAATCGCAAGTTTGCCGTCAAGAAGCAGAGAATTCTGATCTATTTTCAGTACACGGTAAAGGGGGGAACGCCATTATGTTTCATTAGTTCAGACGGAGAGTAAGTTCCCCAGATCTCATTGAAAATGAGCCAGACTGCTTTTTCGCATATTTTTTTAACAGTTAATGTTATGTTGAGCCATAGTGAATTGGCATATTCTAGTTTTAATACCATTAAACAAAAATAGCACATTAGTTTAGGATAGCTTGGAGTGGTGTGAAGATTACATTTTTATGAAGCAGGATTTTCTAAATTCAAATGAGAAAATGTTATTGGTATGTGTGTTTCAGGATAAGATAGTTGTTAATGCTAACACCAATATATTTGCAATGGTCGAGTTGCCTCAGTAGCAAAAATGCAAGCCAGTAAATAAAAGGAGGGGGTGTTTTTTTTTACCCGAGGGTAGAAAGAGTATGCTTTTATCTGCATTTAGAACCCTTTCCAGTTTTTGCACCATTGAAATATGTTATTTGATCGTTATTTAACTTGAGTTTGCCATCAAGATGAAAGATTTTTCAACCATACACAGTCATCTGCAAATTGTCGGATTAGAAAACCTGGGCTTACTTCGTTAGCAATATCATTAACATCAAGCAGGACAAGCAAAGTGGCCAAGGAACACTACCCTGAGGAACACTCGAAGTGACCGTCAGACTTTCAGAAAGCTGAACCCTGATGTCAGTGCATTGCTTACTGTCGGTCAATATAGCAGAAATCCAGTTTATAAGTTTTCAGGAATGCCGTGCATGCGAAGCTTTATTATGAGTATATCTTGTGGAAACATGTCAAAAGCTGTACTAAAATCAAGAAATATTATGTCTACTTGGCAGTTAGAATCAAGACATATAGGAAATGAATGAAGTACTGTTAATAGTTGGGCTATTGTTGAACACCTTTTTCAAAAGCCATGCCAGTGTTCTGTGTTAATGCAGCGTTAGTTTCCAAACTTTGGTGTGCACAGTTACTGATAATATGCTCTGCAACTTTGCAGCACTGGTATGTTAGTTATATTAGGCAATAATTTTGTATAAGTATTCTATCAGCTTTTAAACTCTAGGGCGACCCGGGCAGTCTTCCAAATTGTTTGGCTATTGTGAGGTCGTTGGTGAGGCATGTAACTAAATCACAAGAGTTTTCGCAAGAAGCTTGGCATATCACTTGAGGAACATGTGTCCGGACTTTATCAGGATCAGCAGAACGTTTATACCCCTTTCACGAGAGTGCGCAAAAACTCTATACATGAGCGATCTTTTACAAAGTCGAAAGACTTTTAATGAAAAGGCATTGCTTTGCAAGACACACGGCACTGACGAATCTCTATGTCATTTATTTATTTTCTTTTATTGATTTACTTACAACAAAATGCTGTGGGAGACCACAGGGAGAAAAAAATGACACAATCAGATTAGGTTGTCCTGGGCACCCTACACGTATTACAGCATAAATGGTGATAATGAACAAAAAAGAGAAAAATGAAATTCACTCATAATACATTGCACATGAACATCCTCCATGTGAAAAAGAAACGAGCTTATATACACATTATAAAGGAACACTAAAAAAATTAGTTTGCACTTGAAGAACAACGAAAATGAAAAATAATATACTATAGCGTTGTTTATGAGGCAAGTTCATGATAAGATATTGTGGTGAAAATCTTTGTAGTTTTTCAAATGAGGTTTCCAGAATGTTAAAAAGCTGCTAATTACTGTTGCTATTTAGCAAAGCTGATAGCATGAACTAAAGCATTTGTTGACTGTAGTTAGTGCACCATTTTTTAATTTGCCATTCTTCTGGTATATTATACTTTATTAGTGTGGCCTGTCATCTTGCTAGCGTTTGTAGAGTACTGGTTTTTTTTATTAAGCTAGATTTATACTGACGACATAGATTATAGTTAAAAATGGACTTTACCGGCACAATGCCGTGTGTTATAAAGAGGTCACTGGTGTTTGAGAGGTATGAAACCTTGAATCTAATCGAATCACGCGTGTTTGTTATACTGCGAGCTTGTCAATGTTTTCTTTTGTAGTAGTTGCCCAATCTAGCAATCCATAATTATTAATTAAGCATTGGTTCGAACAGGGCATTATACAAGAACATGTTGATGCTTGTAGGGCATTCGAAAGAGACACGGTGCATCACACCTATTGTACGTACTACATAATTTGCTGATTAGGTGATTTATGTGGTCATCCTATGTCATGTGTTCATTGAAACAGATGCCTAAAGTTTTTATTGATGGTACGAACTCTATTTCTGCTTTATAAACTTTCTCGGTGCTAGTTGAGGGGTCTTATTCCACAGTCGAAACAAGGTTGCCTTAGTATTGCTAATGTTAAATTTTAAGTGGTCTTGAGTCGTCCAGTATTTTATTTTCTATGGCGATTCACTACCTCTATTAATTATGTACTCTTCTAAGTTCCCTGAAAAAAAAAAAATTAACTGGCATCATGTGCATATATAATCCATTTGGCTATCATGAATCACCGGAATTTAGTTGATATAAAGTAAAAGTAAAAAAGGTCCTAGGATACTTCCCTGGGAAACACCACATCTGACCGGTTTTTCCATCTGATTTTTCTCCCGCAACAATTACAGATATTTATGTTTCAAATATGTGAAAATTAAAAAATGTGCTAAGCCCCTAATGACATAAGTTTCCATGTTTCTTAACAAAATGCTATGGTTAACAAGGCCGAATGCTTTTGAAAAGTCTAAAAATATACTCAGCACCATTTCCTCAGATTCAAATTTCTCTAATATAAACTCTTACTGTTCAAGGAGGCCAAGCATGGTGCTTCTTCTTCTTATGGAAACCTAATTGTGCTGGATGCATAAGATTATGGCGGTTTTTTTCAAACCTCGAGAGAACACTGGTAATATGGATATCCACCTGTAGTAGCTCATTTCATTTTTATCCCCATTTTTGAATATAGTTGTCAGTTTGGTGCTTTGGAAATATTCCGAATGACAAACTTTGGTTAAATATGTATGTTAGAAATGGTGCCAGAATATCTATTACTTACTTTACTGGTTGTACTTGAATGTCGACACATCAGTGGCTTTAATGTTGCTTAATGCCATAAAGACGAGATAACTTCATTGTCAAACATTGGGGTAAAAATTATTGTATGTTCTGTGTACGAATTCATATAAGTAAAATCTAGATCATTATTCAAAGAATGGCTAAGGCTAAGAAAAAAAACATGGAAACAATTTGCCAAATCACGGCCTAATAATTCTACGCTGTTCTGTAATATCATCGTTTGTTCCAGTGATTTTCCAAGCATTGTATTTAGAGTCTTGCAAATTTTAGCAGTGTTCCACAATCACAATAATTAACCTTTTGCAGCTGCTTTTTAACAGAGTTTATAAACTCTTTTTAGTGTTTTCTTTTGAACGCACTACCGAAAGCGTAGCACTAGCCTTCAAGATGGAACCAGACAAAACAAAATTGCATCATAAAATCTAATTTCTGTCTCTGATTACTGTAGCTGTTGTTTTTTGTGTGCATCCAGGGCTATTTAGTCACCAGCATCGGCCATACATGAAATAAACTTCCTGTCATAGCTGCTATAATTGACCTTTTTCTCCTCATTCCATGTTTACTGCACGAAGGCTGTTTACTTTTATTGTTTCATAGCTGCAAAGACCAGCCAAACTTTGATGTTTATGCCCCAACAGCTGCATGCTACGGCGATTATATGTGGTACAGTGTTGATACAGAGAGCAATCTGGCTCTGACTGTTAGTGCTCTGTAATTGTCTCTTGGATGACGAGATCAAGGCATCCTCTTTGCACCGCAACCCCCTTCCCCCCCAGCTTGCACATCATGCTGTGGTCCTGAGCCAACTCAACTGCTGAAAAATGCCACTCAGTGACAGTGGCATACACATGCTGGACTTACTTTACTGTGCATATTACTTCCACCACCTGACATTGAGTGAAGCTGCGCAAGCACATGTCATTGAGATGCACCTTGTTTGGTCCCTATTGTAAGTCTGTGGCACCTTCTCCACTTCGAGCACTGTTCTGCTTTGCAGTCTTTCGCTGCAGACAGACCCTCACAGACCTGCAGTGAGTTGGCCGTACAGTGCCTTTGCTCCGTGAATTTTCGCTCTCGTGCGCTATGGATTCTTCCTATTGTTAGCTGAGGGCGCCAAAGCATGCATATTCGATTGTTCTTGCGGCGAGCCTTCCTTCGCTCGCAATTCTGACTGTCTCACTTTCCTGCATTCTGGGTTTATAAGCCTATGTTTGCTTATGGTTTTGTCTGTTTTGCCTTTTCTGCCCCATGTTTGAGAGTCGACGAACCCAGCTGTAGTGCCTTTGCGCATTGTGGTGTGAAAGAGCATCACGTTTTTTCCTGACTGCGCTCGTGTGATAATAAGTATCGCACAGGCCAGTCTCAACATCGGGTGCGCAAGTTTTTCATGTGGGTGACTGTGTACTGTATTCCTTGCCAAACAGGTGGTCTGCAGGCGATAGCAGAGCTGATCCAGGTGGACCAGACCAGCCATGGCAACACAGCTGAGCCGAGCTGCGTGACATTGCGACGATATGCCGGCATGGCGTTGACGAACCTGACCTTTGGTGATGGTACTAACAAGGCACTGCTCTGCTCCATGAAAGGCTTCATGCGTGCCCTAGTCTCACAGCTGCACTCACCCAGCGAAGACCTGCGACAGGTACGAGGGCGCTAGCTTCATTTCTCTGTCAGTTGTAGAAGGCAGTTTTGGTAGACGCACAACGCAAAGAGGAAGGCATACAACAGCTGTATCTTACCGGCGCTATCTTCACAGAAGAAAACTGGAGGACTGCAAAGCAGAATAAACATAAATTCAGGACGACGCAATGAGCAATGGAAAGGAGAATGATTGGTGTGAACTTCAGAGACATGAAGAGAGATGAGTGGCTCAAAGAACAAACGGGTCTGAAGGACATCATAGTTGAAATTAAGACGAAAGAAATGAACATAGGCAGGGTACACAACATGTGCCCCTGGTTATTAAAAGGGCCCTGTGACACTTTCGAGACAGCCTTATTCAGCACCGTAACATGTGTAGCAATCGTTACTGAGACGAATGCAACAAGAATTATGGAAATTGGTGCTCAGGAAGTGAAGTTATGAGTCCTCATAGTTCAGAACTCGAGCAGACGATGACGATAAACCTTCTCTTTTGCATTTCACTCTCGCCTGCTGACGTCAAAGATCGCTTCCAATCACAGCGTGCGTCTCATAAAGACATATTGGAAACGTGACGTCATGGTGGCCATCCTATAATACCTCGCTACCGCTCTTTTTGGCAGCATTTTTAGCGTGGTTATTACGAACCACGTGCCTCAGGTTGCAGACGCCCCCATGGTCAAACTGTGTATGATACACGCATACGCTTTGGACGGGTCACTTCTCGGCTTGCTTGCAAAACGCGTTCTACGGCAACGCCGGTGTCCGCTGCCTGTCGCATTTTTCGCTCTCTAAAAACGCGGCATGCATTTCCACCTTTAGTTGCTGGCGTACCATAGCCTCGTTCAAAGGCTAAATATTGTGTTCATTGTTCTGGAAATACCTACATCATTTAAAAACAGAAATGATTTATTTCTGAGAAAGTGTGAAAAAGTTTTTGCTGTTTTTAGCATTCACTCGTATGGCCTAGCTACCATTATATGGATATTGCATGCTATTTGTCACGTCTAGCCAATAAAAAGCGAACGGTCCGTGTCGTCACGCCACACGACATGACGTCACTTCATATCACAAAAATAGCCGATGTGTGTCGCCATAGTCTGAAATCAAGGTAGTTTGTCCAGTGAATTAAAATGATAAAAGCGTCGATTTCAGCGTTGCCATTTGCGATATCCGCACGTTCCACAGCACCAGAAAAACTGATGCAAAATACATGCTCAAATAGTGTTGTAGGGCCCTTTTAAGGCGCAAAGGGGAGACAGAAAGTTAGGTGGGCAGATCAGATTGAAATGTTTGCGTGTATAATGTTGCATCAGCAAGCACAGCGACTGTGCGGATTGGCGAACATGGCAGAGGCCTTTGCCCTGCAGTGGGCATAAGATGGTGATGATGATGAACACAAACATTGTGGTATGTAGGACCTTAGTGGTAATTTGCTACGGTCTTTAAAATCTTGTAGTCCAGGGCTATTACCAATATGTAATGATGAACTTGCAGATTAGCATAAGTAGACTCTCAGTAAACGTAAATCTGATGAATGGAACTGCTGCTTAAGTGGAACACCTGCCTCCAGCATGATTGGTTTTTACTTAGATTCTCCATCCTTGTTTACTTCTTAGTAAACGGAACGAAGCAAATTTTACTAGTCCCTTCAGGTTCCATTTAATGAGAGTCTACTGTATATTGTCGTCCTGGTTGGGTCGGCAGAACTGCCCTCTGTGCACAACTGGCTCATTATCATTGCTTTTTGTGGCCCTTGCAAGTCGCTGCCATTGACGCCCCTACAAGTTGCTTTTAACGTGCAGTGCGACAAAGAAAAAACTTGGAGGACGCCTTCAAGAGTATAGTGTGGTAGCGTAATTGTACACCATGTACATTATCTTCAAACATGCCACAAGGAAAGAATGCACGTATAACAATGGTTGTTTCAAAGTATCCTGGAATATCTAGTGGATGGACAGTTGCTATGTGCCCACTACACCATAGTTCTTTGCTAAGTATTCACTACTGGTCTGTAAATCGCCACATGCAGTTGTGCAGCTGCACACTTTGTAATGGGTGGGCAGCTTAAAACCACCCGCCCTTTGTGCAATTTACTTGTTTTGACGCCTGGTGCAATTCTAAGATTCTGCGATGCAATAAAGATAGGTTGGCGTACTCACTCACGAGTTGACTCACTCGAACTCACTCAGACTCAGATCAAGCTGTGAGTCTGAGTGAGTCCAGGTGAGTAATATTTTGGTGAGTTTAAGTCCGAGTGAGTCCAGTCAAGGAAAATTTTCACGAGTGTGAGTTCTAGTGAGTCCGGCTCGGAAAAATTGGGGTGGGTCTGAGTCCGAGTGAGTCCAATGCGAAAGATGTACTATTTCTTGAGTGAGTCTGAGCGGGCTCCACTTTTTTTATGACCTGTGGTCCTATCTATTCATCTTCATCATTACTATCAGCCTTACTTCAATCCACCTGAATGCTCACGTTTAGTCACACTTATTCCAATTGAGTATCGTTCGTACACCATTTCGACATTTATTGATTATAGAGGCGTGAATTACGCAGGGGGGTGCCTTGGCTTCCGAGCCATCAATTCTTCCAGGGAAGCTGTTGATAAATATATTTATGTTGTCATATCTTTCAAGAAAGACGTCTTTACTGCTTTGAAACCACTCATAACAAGCACTCGGCGGTACACTATCAAAAGGCACCTAGAAGAGTTCAGACTACGTGAGATGGTGGGGCTCAGGAATATTGGCACCATGGTCAGAAAAGCCAATTCTAGGCTTGTGGACTCGTGAGTAAACTCATTCGAACTCAAGTCAAGCTGTGAGTCTGAGTCATTAATGGGTCCTGGTGAGTAATACTTTGGTGAGTTAGAGTCTGAGTGAGCCCAACATGCAAAATATATTTGATGAGTGAGTCGGAGGGAGGTCCACAATTTTTGCCAACTTATGACAATAAAATATGCGTTAAGGAGACCGCTTCCACTACACGATACCGTATAATGTTTTTTTTTTTTTTCAAACCATTTTCAAGCAATGACGTGGCTCTGTGGCAGAACACCTGCTTGCCATGTAGAAGGCCTGGGTTTTATTCTCACTTCGAAAGCATATATTTTTACTATTTATTTTATTTGCATATCTCTAGATTTTTCAGTCAGGTACTGAATGATGATTGTTCGCTCACAACCAATGATGCCGACACCATTGCCGATGCCAGAATCTCTGAAAAATGAGCTTTTTAATGCCATCGCAATTAATAACGTGGTAGGATTCTAAGGGCAGCAGCCCGTCTTTTATTTGCACCTCATTTTTTTCACCCCCCATTTCAGGTGCATTTCTGCCACTCTCATTGTTGCTGCGGCAGCAGCAGTCTTGATGGCATATGTCATGGTCATTGCTCTTGATTCATTATTGGTACGATTGATTACTGACCATGTAGCTATTTCAGCATGGCATGCAGCTAAAAAATAAAATACAAATGCGAACTCGTAAACTACGAAGTGGATAGAAAACACCATAGGTAATGATATGCTTTCGTGCAGGTGACTGCCAGTGTGTTACGCAACCTGTCATGGCGAGCGGACTCGGGAAGCCGCGAAACCTTGAGGGAGGTTGGCGCGGTGCCTCTTCTTATGGAGGCTTCAATGGAGGCCCGCAAGGAGGCTACGCTCAAGAGCATCCTCTCAGCACTCTGGAACCTCTCTGCACATTGCACTGCCAACAAGGTATGTCTTGTAATACGGCTTAAACACATTTCTTTGACGTTTTTTTAGAGATGTGCGAATGTTTAAAATTTTGAATATTTTTAGAATAGTGTGTGCTATTTGATTCCCACTGAAATTATTACTATTCAAACTATTCAAACTTTCCAAAGACAAATGCAGTCAACGTCCGACCAAAAAAAAGGCTTCTTCAGATCTTTTATATGCTTCACCTCATTGCGTCCTCGTGTAGCGGCAAAGCTGCCTTTCAGGCTTCTTTACGGTCGAATTTTTTAAAGACAAATATGGGCAACGTCCGAATAAAAGTGGCCCCTTCATAGTTTTTTAACTGCTTCACCTCATTGCGTGCTCATATTGCATAAAAGCTGTCTTTCAGGCTCTGCTATGGTAGCAAATGTATTGACTCAAGAAATCTGGTTTCAATATGGAGGTGATAGATCTATCTGGCTGAAGTGAGAGATCAATTGATTCTATGATAAACCCAAAATTTGGGTAGGAAGTCCGAAAAATTAGACACCAAAGATTTATAGCATCCAAAACTTCAACTGTTCTTGTATTTCGACGTCTTCGAGGTAGATTTGGAACTTCTTATTTTAAGAGAGCACAACCTTGTCTGCCACATCAGTTGGGCTTCCACAGAAGTTGAAAGAGCAGGAGAGGCTGAGGAAATAGAATCTTTGTCTTTTACGTGTAAAGTGTTGTTGGTGATACTTCAGTTGCACCAAATCATGTACTAATACAATTCGGCCTCTGCATTGACTCATTCTCGATAAGACAACTATGAAATATTACCACGTACCCACCAGTGCCTTATCAACCTAGCCAAAAAAAAAACACACTTTCATGTTGCTTTTTCTCATAAAATATGGAACTCTCTCCAGCTTTTCTTCTCACAATATTGCTTTTAACTGTTCAAAAACTATTCTATTTGCACACTCACTTCAATATTGGAATTTACTTCACACCCAAAATTTTGCTATTGGCACAGCTCTACTGAAAACCCTGTACCACATTCTTTATATTGCTTGTGTGTACAACGAACTTATCTTAATGATAAAGAGTGCTTACCAGTGCAAATGACAGGGCAGGAGGGGACAGGAGAAGAGACGAGACAGAGCGCTGAACTGCCAACAATTTATTTTTTGCAAAGGTCTTGCTCTTATACAGTTACCAGTCACAAGCACTCTTTATCATGTTATACCAACACGCCCAATCCTACTGTCTTTTGAATTATGTTAATGACTTTCACTTTTGTTGACATTAGCAAACAAACATACCATAAGAACACATTTGCAAGTAGTATTGCAATTCCTTGGATCTAACTGAAATTTAGTTTTTGTGAAAGTGCATCTGTTCTGTCATTAAAGAACAAACCACTATTTCTGTATTCTCATTTTCTTTAAATGTAGATCTTGTCAGTTATCTTTAACAAAGCATATTGTAATTTTGCTTGCCTTATTTTTTTTCTTAGGTGGACATCTGCAATGTGGAAGGAGCACTGGCCTTTCTTGTTGGCACACTCACCTACCGCAGCCCTTCCAAGACGCTGGCCGTCGTCGAGAATGGGGGTGGCATCCTTCGCAATGTGTCCAGCTACGTTGCACTGCAGGAAGAGCACCGACAAACCCTTCGGGCACACAACTGCCTGCAGATTCTCCTCAAGCAGCTCAAGTCTCCCAGCCTCACTGTCGTCAGCAATGCCTGCGGCACACTGTGGAACTTGTCTGCACACTGCGCCCAAGACCAGCGCACCTTGTGGGAGATGGGTGCTGTGTCGATGCTGAGGAACCTCATCAATTCCAAGCACAAGATGATTGCCATGGGCAGCTCGGCAGCTCTCAAGAACCTGCTGACAGCTGCTACGGAGCTGAAGCTGGCCGACTGCGACGGTTGCAACAACAACAAGGACGACAATGACAATGAGAGCCTGCCATCATTGGCGGTTAGGAAACGCAAGGCTCTGGAGACTGAGCTTGATGCTAGCTTGTCGGAGACGTGCGACAACATAGACAGTCCCCGTGCAAGTCCCACAGGAGACCCACGGTTTGGCTTTGACTTTCACCAGCCAGACATTTTGGAACGGTTCCACACTTACCTTCCAGGGAGAATGTATCACAGCATTGGTGGCGAGAGAGACGTTCCACGGTCGGACAGCCGCGACAGCATTGGAAGCACGCAGTCAGAGCCAACACACTTGAGGCCTCCGCAATCGGTGTTCTCTAGACAGCGGCGCAGGGGCAAGCAGCTTTTAGAGCGATATGGGCGGGGTGGTGATTTTGGCAACTTGAATCTGGCACTTGTGAATCCATACTTCCCTCATCATAGCTTAGAGGAAGAAGATGCAGAAGCATTGAATGGAAATGACTTGGAAGAGCCCCCAAATCAGACCTTGGGTCATAGAAATGGCTTACCAATGGGACCCCTGTGGCGAGACCCCAGTGAGTGTGTGAGGAGAAGGTTGGATGACAGCCTTGAAGAGGATGATGAGGAGGATGCTGAAGATGGCGAGGAGGATGACTTGGAAGTGGATGCCTGCAGAAACAACTCTGACTCTGCTGGCCTGAGGCACCTGCATAGCACGAAGCCTCTAGAAAGGAGTCGCAGGGAAGTTCAAGAGATCCAGAGGATCTTCGAGAGGGCACAGAGTCCGCAAACTTCACTTCGAGGCCTACATGTCCAGTGTGCTAACGACACAGTTATTTTGACTGACCTGGGCAGCTTGGAAGACATATCAGATGTGGTTGTTTCGTCCGCTTCAAAGCAGGAACTTGATTCTGAGGACAAAGAAGAGGATGAGTGCCTGTCTGATGACGAGGACCTTTTATCTCCTCCTCCCCAAGTGGACGAAGACGTAAGTGTAAGACTGCTCATTTATGACATGCATGGGTTTTTATGTTGGTATATTCACACATTTACATAATAAGAGTTAGTACTTTTGTGAATCACCAGATTTAAAAAAAAGTAAATTCAATATTTTTCTTGTTAATATAACTTTGTATGGAAATGTTGGCTGCCACATATATTTCTGGGTTAGATGTCGCTTTGCAACATAGTGCATCGATGGTGACGTCAGTTCGGGAAAAGTAAACTGCAAAAATGCACTAGACGGAAAAAAGACAACACACCACTTTGTGTTGTATCTTTCTCCGTCCTGTGTGTTTTTGCAGTTTTCCTAATCATGAATCTCTGAACTTGTCTACATTCACACACCTGCTAAGAGATGTCGGCGATACCTGTAGACATAATACACATAATACAACACATACATAATACACACATAATATGCACATAATACAACTCATACATTTTATTTCCTGTGCCATGCATCAATATGTCCTTCAATACTGCCAATATTCATGGTATCACTCGAAAAGTTCTTGAGCCTGTTGGTAAGCCTCATGATGGAAAAACAACATGAAGAAAACAAATATACGATAAAGAGAAGAATAGGACAGTTCTGCATTTTTCTGGCAATTATCTGTCATGTTGCAGCATGCATTATCAGTATACTCTTCTTCATTGTCACATTGTCTACTTTTCTTCTTACTGTGTTCAGGAGGCAGCTGAAGGAGACTGCAGTGATGCTCGCAGTGATGCTCGCAGTGATGCTCAGACAAGTTTGGCATTTGGTGGCTCTACCAAGGGCAGTGGGATTCCCATTAAAGCTAGCTTCACCAAACCACCGTCCAGGAAAGATGGAACAGTCACAACAACTTGGGCTTCACGGCCTTCAGAGTATCCCACAGAGGTCAATTCCATTGAGCCAGCCTAGTGCTGCGAACGAAGGGCCGGAACGACATTCCAGGGGGTCCTCGGAGCTCATGGATATCACGCCGGGCACCCCAGACACGTTGGAGCAAGTTCGTTCGGAGACGGGCACTGTGACTGTTTCGCATGCACCAGCCAGCATTGAAGCAGGTGGACATCCAGGTGCAATGCCATCTTCGCAGCTGTGTTGTCAACAACAGCAGCAGGCTGTTGCACCCATGGTCAGCAGAAAGCCAGCTGGCCACTGCTGTAGCTTCGCCCACTCTACACCGGCACCGTCTCTGCGCGAATACATTTACGGCAAGAAGAAAGCCGGTTCCAAACCACCGGTGGCAGTGAAGCCACTGCAGTTGCAGCAACACAGTGTGCCATGTCCAGAGCAGTCCGAAGGTTCTCAAGCTGACACACCACAGCCATTTCTACTAGCAAGTAGTTCCAGTCCGTCAATCACCAAAATACCACAGTCTGGTAAGTAAATGAAGGGTCACACTATAGTTGTGGTTGACAGCCTGACAATGCCATACAGACTCCACAGCAACAGACTAAGGCTACAGTGACATACAGGCAATTAAGTGCACATATGTTTGTGGCATTGGGCACTTTTGTGTATTTAGGAAGGATGCTTTTTTTATACAGGAGCAATTTCTCCTAGTGTCAATGGTCTTAGGATCAAACTTGGACATTCTGACAAGTTTTATAGCTGATCCTGATGTCAATGTTTTTTTGAACATGATATGTGAGCTCCACAAAACGAATTTATTTTCCAGTAAGCCTAATATTCATACACTTAAATCTTGGTATAACGAACCCAAATATAATTATATATTGTCACGCGCTAGGAGCTCGAAGAAACGTACAAGGAGACGCGACTGTCAAAATCTGAGATACAAAGAAGGACGTCTCCTCTGGCACGGGTTGCTCGTCTTTGTCTTCTTCGTTCACTGACACAGAACTGGCTCACTCACTGTTCACTGGCACAGAACACCAGGTGGCATTACTCCTCCCCCCGAGAGAACATCGACCCGATGCTCAAGAAAAATGTGCACAGTAGGGGTCGAAGTAGGCAACATAAACAAACATTAAACAAAGTATCGCACGAGAGAAAATGCGTCCTGGGCCCGGCAATCGGAAATAAACGGCATTAACTGTTCACATAAAGAGTTCACTGGCACACGTAGAAAATTCGCATCACCGCAGTAAAGTATGGTTTTAGGTAGACGACGTGTACAGTCTCTGAGCATGGTAATTTGCGCTGGGAATGATGGTGAGCTTCCGTCTGGAACTACTTCGTAGTTAACGTCGCTCACACGTCTGAGTACTTTGTAAGGTCCAAAGTACTTCCTCAAGAGTTTCTCACTGAGACCAACTGCCTAATGGGTGTCCAAACCCAAACTTGGTCACCAGGTTCATAATTAACTTCTCGATGGCGGATGTTGTACCGCTGTGCATCTGAACACTGTTGAGTTCTAATGTGCACACGGGCCAGTTGACGTGCTCCCTCAGTGTGCTGAATGTACTCATTGATGTCGGGGGCTAATTGGTCGAGCTTGTCGATGTCCTCATACGGAATCATGGCGTCTAGCATAGTTCTGACATCTCGACCATAAATGAGCCGAAACGGCGTGAAGCGTGTAGTTTCCTGCGTTGCAGTGTTGTACACAAGTGTTACGTATGGCAGGATGTCGTCCCACGTTTTGTGCTGCACACCCACGTACATAGAGATCATGTCGGCTAGCGTTTTGTTTAGCCTTTCTGTTAAACCATTACTCTGAGGGTGATACGCAGTGGTCTTTCGATGGGTTGTATAACTCAACCTGAAGATATCATCCAAGAGCTTCGCTGTGAATGATGTCCCTCGATCAGTGATGACATATGACGGGGTGCCATGCCGTAGCACAATTTGATGCATAAAAAAACTGGCAACTTCAGCTGCGGTCCCTCGTGGCAATGCCTTCGTCTCAGCGTAACGCGTCAAGTAATCGGTTGTGACAATAATCCATTTGTTGCCGGAAGAAGACAAAGGAAACGGGCCTAGGAGGTCCATTCCCACTTGATCAAATGGTGTAGGGGGTGGATCGATCGGTTGTAGATGGCCTGCAGGCTTTAAGAGTGGTGTCTTGCGACGGTGGCATTCACGGCATCCCTTCACGTAGCGTTTGACAGAGGCAGACATTTTAGGCCAGTAGCAGTGTTGTTCGCACCCGATCCATAGTTCTCGAGTAGCCCAGACTGGCCGGATGTGGGCTCGTCATGGCAAGCTAATCGCGGAGTTCTAATGAAGTGCCGGTAATACGCAGCACAAACTACACGCTTCACGCCGTTTCGGCTCATTTATGATCGAGATGTCAGAATTATGCTTTACGTCATCGCGGAGGGCTTCAGGCACTACGAGAAGATGAGATCTGTCACCAGCACCGGTGTTCTTTTTGTATAAGACGCCATTTCAGTAGGCAAAATGATGGCCACGTTCACGACATCGGACGAGGAATGGGCACGGTGCGACCTTCTAAGTGATCTATAATCATTCTTAGATGGGTGTCATTTCATGGATGAGACATCAGATCCGGCCCGCTCAGAGTTGCCACGAAGGCACCGTCCTCTTCTGCACTTGTACTGGCGGATTGAAGAGGTGCTCGTGATAGCGCGTCGGCAGTCTTCGTGCTTTTTGCCTGACTTCTATACGATGGTGACATCAAATTCCTGTAGGCGCAGACTCCATTGTGCTAATTGTCCTGAAGGGTCTCATAGATTGGTCAACCAGCACGAAGCATGATGATCAATCACCACTTTATATAGTGTTCCATAGAGATATGGCCTAAACTTTGTAATTGCCCAAATGACCGCGAGACATTCTTTCTCTGATGTAGAATAGTTAGATTCTGCGCGAGACAGCGTGCGACTTGCGTAGGCTAAGGTCCCTATATATATATAAAGGTAGCGACAACTACACGCGCGCCCTCTGGAGGGGTCCAAGGAGCAGCGCTAGCAGGCGAACGCTCTGCTCGCTCGCGTGCATTTTGCGGACGGCTGAAACCGCTCTCAGTGCGCGTTTGAACCGGTTAATTATTGCCCTTTGTGGCGTAAGCTGCCCAGGAAACTTAAGCAGTAGGGACAACGACTAACGATCCCGGGGCGCGTGAAGCTTTGCAATAAAACGTTCGTACTTTCGAAGCATCTCATTCTATTGAACGGTGTTTCACAGCGGTATTCATACGGCGCTTTTTTACGGTCGTTTGCACGATCTGAAATTCAGCTTACATTGAAGTAGAGACGATATTTGGTACACTGAAAGTGCTTGTTTTATAGTTCAAAAATATCGGGGTTGTGAGCTTACCGATACTTTCAGAAACATCATTGCGCACTGATTGCTTCTAGTGGTGCGCTGTGAGAAATAGTGGTGTCTAGTGGTGCGCTGTAATCACTGTGAGAAATACGGGATGTGAAACGTAAATAACTATAATGCGCAAATCAGCCGCATCAAGAACGCCAAAACAATAACAGCATTGTTGAGATAATGCCCATGAAACAGTATATACACGAACAAAGGCACGCCAGCGAGGCACATGGCTGGCTGAAATCTACGACAGTGTTTACATTTTATAAAAACCACGAAGTCACTTACCTCGCATAGCCGGGTATTTTCAGTGGGCACGAAATTCTTGCGCCCGATTCTGTGGAGCCATAACTTCCGTCTGCTGATGTTATCATCACCGCGAGGAATAGAAAAGAACTTCCTTTCATCCATCATACGGTTGCGGCAACCGTAGGCACAGCAGCCCGGCATGCTAGCGTGTCATGCTGCAAACGTTGAATAAAAACACGTCATTCCCGTGTCCACTCAAGGGAAAGGTAAATAAGCACTTCTACGTTGCAAAAACAATGCATCAGAGGTGCAAGAAATGTTCTTTACTTACCGAAACGTCCAATTCCACGCTCGGAAACGCAAACAACCGCGCGATCCTGCATGCACAGCGAACGACTACTGGACCCTTAGGGCAGGGCGCGAAGGAGAAAAGGTCACGTGTCGCCAACCGGCCAATCGCGCGGCGAGGCAGCTGGATCAAGACCTTTCGCTACTTTTCGTAGATAGAGGGACTTTAGCGTAGGCTACTACCCGTTCAGTGCCGTCTTGTCGTTGTGCCAAATAGCTCCAAGACCAATATTGCTGGCATCAGTGCGTACTTCTGTGTCAGCTTCTTCAGTCGAAGTGGCCGAGCACGGGAGGGGGAGAGAGCCGGTGCTGTAGTTCCGCAAAGACAGTCTGCTGTTCGTCAGCCCAGACAAATGGTGTGTCATCACGCGTGAGGCGTAATAGCAGCTACGCAATGTTGGAGAAATTTTCAATGAAGTGCCGGTAATACGCGCACAGACCCAGAAATCGTCGAAGACTTTTCTTGTCAGTTGGAGCTGGAAAAGTGGCGACGGCAGCAGTTTTGTCAGTAATCAGGCCGAACACCAACGTCGCTCACGACGTGACCAAGAAACTTTAACTCTTCACAGCCGAAATGACATTCCTCAGGCTTGAGTGTCAGATCGGCCGATCTAATGGCTTCGAGCACATTCCGAAGGCGACGAAGATGCTCGTCAAACGTTTCTGAAAACACAACGACATCATCGAGGTAGACGAGACAGCTGTTCCACTTGAGGTCTGCCAGGACGGTGTCCATCATTTGCTGGAATGTGGCAAGAGCAGAACAGAGGCCGAAAAAGAGCACTTTGAATTCATAAAGGCCATTCGGCTGTTACAAAAGCGGTCTTTTCCCGGTCACGTTCATTGACCTCTATTTGCCAATAACTACTCTTCCAGTCAGCGGACGAAAAATACTTCGCGCACCGCAGCCTGTCCAGAGAATCATCCACTCTGGGCAAGTGGTACACGTCTTTCTTTGTGCCATTGTTCAACTTCCTGTAGTCGACACAAAAGCGAAGCGTGCCATCTTTCTTTTCACAAGAACGACTTGTGATGACCAAGGGCTGCTTGAAGGCTGTATCACGCCATCCTGAAGCATTTCCTTAACCTGCATTTGAATCGCGTGCCAGTTCGGTTGACGAAACACGATAAAGCTGCTGCCGTATGGGATGCACGTCGTCGTAGGTGATAATACGGTGTTTCGCATTCGGTGTTTGACGTATCTTCGAAGAACGTGCAAAGCATGTGTGGAATTCCAGCAACAGCTCGCTCAAACGCTGCTTGTTCGCTTCAGAAAGCGTTGGATTGATGTCGACGCTGCGGAAAGGCGCTTCAGCAGTAGCCAATGGCCTCGGAAGCAAAACACTCGGTGACATTGGACGACTGGGTCGGCGTAGGCGATGACAGTTCCAGGAAAAAGATGCCGGTGCTCGTAGCTGAAGTTTGTGAAGTATGTTATAAGAAAGTATAGGAAAAATAGTGTTGCAATAAATATAGTGCTAGGGATAAACCTTCATAATGATTTTTGAATATAACAAACTTATTTTGTATAATATTC